CTTAGGTGTATGTGGCTGGCGCCTTAGCCACTTGAGCCACAGGCGCTGAGCCTATTTATTTTGAGATAGAGTCTTACCATGTCGTCCTTGGTAGACTGCTGTGACATCACAGCTCACAGCAACCTCAAACTCTTAAGCTTAAACGATTCTCTTGCCTCAGCCTCCCAAGTAGTTGGGACCACAGGCGCCCACCACAATGACCTGTTACTTTTCCTTGTTGTTGCAGTTGTCAGTGTTGTTAGCTCGGTGTATGTGGCTGTCGCCCTACCCACTGAGCTATGGGCGCCCCCCCTCCCTTTTATTTTGTATATTCTTTAAACATTTGTCTCCTTTTTTACTGTCTCTTTATTCTCCACCACAGGCTGTCAGCTCAGTTCTCCCTCACACTAGAGTGCCCCAACTGAGTCCCACCCAGTAGGGACTGAAATTTAGAAATGTGCATTTTCCACCATAGATTTGACTTCCTGCCGCTTAAACATATTGGCCTCCATCGAGGAGACTCCACAAGCTGAAGCACCAAGAAATGTTATTTTAAGTATTTAGTTTATATTTATTTATCACTCATATTTTTGCCGTCCTCCTCCTACAGGGAGGAGTTTGGAGAGGGAGCAGAGTCCTGGTAGGGCGGGGCCCTCCGGGCAGGGGGCGGAGTCCTGGAGGGGCGGGGCCCTCCAGGCAGTGGGCGGGCCTTACCAGTTGAAAGCCGATCTTCCAGTCCTTCCAGTCCACTTGGGGATTGTTGTCCTGCACGCTGGAGGCCGCGCGGCGAGCTCGACGCGCCCCTTGAGGCGGGGGCGGGGCCTGCAGGCGCTGCAAGGGGTGCGGCAGAGTCTCCCGGAGATCGCGCCGGCTGCGCGCATGGGTTATGGTGTTGGAGGCGTTGTATTTGTACAGGTCAAAGAGCGTCTGCTCGGTGATACGGTCCAACTCCTCCAGCTCCCCTTTAATTTCGGTATACCTGAAAGAGACGACAGGAAAAGAGTCGGACTGGGGGCGGCCTGGCGCGAATTCCTGGACCCTCTGGCCTCATTCTCTTTATCTGTAACCACTGAGGTCCATTCATCCCGGAGAAGCCTGAGAACTGCTCTGGTGTCCCCAGGGAAACACCCCGGCGTGGGGTAGGGTGTAGACAGGTGTGTCCGTGGAGTAAATGGAGTCGACAAGAAGCCCAGGCGTGACGGCATTTATTGCAGCCTGTTTATTGAAAGAGAAAGGCAGGAGGCGCCTGTCTGTGGGGCGCTCTCCTCCCACTCACCGGAACTTGCTGACCTTTTCCGCTTTCCCGAGGCGGGGAGGAGTGGGGGGCCTCAGCCTGGGCCCACGACACTCCTGCGCTCCTACGGACTGCGACACGCAGGTCTTCCTGCCCTGATCTTAGGTGAGGGGTAGGTGGACTTGTCTGCCACTGAACACCTAAGTCTAGGTTCTCAACTACACTTTTAGGACTGGCCCAGGAACTCTAAAAATACCAGATGCCGAAACCACCACCACCCCCTTCTCCCAAAGCGTGAGTTTTAATGAGTTTCAAGTGTAGCCTGAACACAATAAAACAATATTCAGTATAAATCCTCACATTGCTTCTCAGTACGGGCCCTATTACAATCCCCAACATGAAAGTCCAGAGTAGCAGGGTCTTAGATACGAAATAAAACAAAGATCTAGGCTTAATAAATTGAACATGTTTGCAAAACCAATATACAAAAATTAATTGTATTTCTATTAGCAAGAAAAAACTGGAATATGATAACACAAAACAACACCATATTAAATAGCATAAACAACATCAAATATCTAGGAATAAATCTAGCAAAAAATGTACAAGAACCTCTACACTGAAAACTATTGAAATCTCTGCAAAAATAAATCAAAGACCAACATAAATAGACATACATGTTCGGGGATCAGAAACTCTTTTTTTTTTTTTTTTTTTGAGACAGAGCCTCAAGCTGTCCCCCTGGGTAGAGTGCCGTGGCATTACGGCTCACAGAAACCTCCAACTCCTGGGCTCAAGCGAGTCTCCTGCCTCCGCCTCCCAAGTAGCTGGGACCACAGGCGCCCACCACAACGCCCGGCTATTTTTTGGTTGCAGCCATCATTGTTGTTTTGGCGGGTCCGGGCTGGGGATTCGAACCCGCCACCTTAGGTGTACGTGGCTGGCATCTTGGCCGGTTGAGCTATAGGTGCCGAGCCACTTCAATTTTTTTTGTTTGTTTTTTTGCCGTTTTTGGCTGGGGCTGGGCTTGAACCTGCCACCCCTGGTATATGGGAACAACGCCCTACTCTTTGAGCCACAGGTGCTGCCCATGACTTTAATATTTACTATAGGCCACAGTAACCAAAACAGCATTAGTAAGAAGAGATCAATGGAACAGAGTCCAGAAATAAATGTACTGTATGATCAACTGATTTGACCAAAGCACTGATTCAATTCATTGGAAAAAAATTTTAAGTGTAACAGATTATGCTGAAACAACTGGATACTGCATGGGGGAAAAAAGATCCTCAATCTCTACCTTATTATATACACAAAAATTAATTCAAGATGGATCATAAACTGAAACATAAAATTCAGAATCATGAGGACTCTAGAAGATGCAAGATGTCTTCCTGACCTTGGGGTAGGCAAAATTTTCTCGTAAAAGAAAGAAATATCTAATTAACAGTTCCTACAACAGCCCTATTCAGTAGGCACTCCTACAGACAGACGGATATTTTTAAAAGATCTCTCCACCCTTACTACACTACTGGAGTAAAATGATACAACAATATTGAAAAACAACCTAAAAGTTCCTCAAAAGGTTAAAAACATATCCTATTAATTCCACTCTTAAGAGAAATGAAAACATATACCTACACAAAAAATCACATACAAATGTTCATAGTAATATTATTCAGTGGGTGAAGTGGCTCACACCTGTAATCCTAGCACTCTGGGAGGCTGAGGCAGATGGATTACCTGAGCTCACAGGTCCGAGACCAGCCTAAGCCAGAGGGAGAACCCCATCACTAAAAATAGCTGGGCCTTGTGGCGGGTGCCTGTAGTCTCAGCTACTCAGGAGGCTGAGGCAAGAGAATCACTTAAGCCCAAGAGTTTGAGGTTGCTGTGAGCTGTGACATCACAGCACTCTACTGAGGGCAAAAAAGTGAGACTCTGTCTCAAAAAAAAAAAAAAATGTTCATAGTAATATTATTCATAATAGCCCCAAAACTAGAGAAAAACCCAAATGACCACCAATTGATGAATGCATGAATAAAATGGGGCATATCCATACATTGGAATATTATTCAGTAATAAAAGAGAATTAAGTATTGATCCATGCTACAGAATGGAACCCTGAAAACATGCTGAGCAAAAAAAGCCACTCACATAATAAGACCACATATAGTATGATTCTATTTACACAAACTGTTCAGACTAGGTTTGTTTTTTTTTTTTTTGGTCACCCTCAGTAGAGTGCTATGGCATCATAGCTCACAGCAACCTCAATCTCCTGGGTTCGAGTAATCCCCTTGCCTCAGCCTCCATAATAGCTGGGACTACAGGGACCTAACACAACACCAAGCTATTTTTAGAGACAGGGTCTGGAATTCCTGAGCTCAAGCAATCCACCCACCTCTGCCTCTCAGAGGCTAGGATAACAGGCAAATATGAGGCATTGTGCCCAACCTCAAACAGGTAAATTTATAGAGATGAGAAGTAGATTAGTAATTGCCCAGGGATGGGGGCTAAGGAGAAGATGAGTGATTGTTAAAGGCCACATGCTTTCTTTTTGGGGTAGTGAAAATGTTCTAAAATTGATTGCAGTGATAATTGCATGATTTTCTGAATATACTAAAAACTATTGAATGGTACACATTATGTGAATAAATTGTACAGTGTGCGAAATATGTCTCAAAAACTGTGATTTTTTAAAAAAGAAAAGAAAAATATATAAGGAAGACCTCATCCTGATATATAAGGAATTACAAATAAACAATAAAAAGATAAGCCATTTTAAAAATAAATTAAAAAGATACATAAATGGTCACTAAACACATGAAAAAGTACTCAATATAATTAATGCTTAGGGAAATGCAATTAAATCCATAATGAGGTGCCATTAAACATCCATTAGAAAGGCTAAAATTAAAAAGACAATACCAAATGTTGGTAAAAATGTAAACTGGAATTCTTCAAAGTTGCTGATGAGAGTCTAAAATGGTATAACTGCTTTGGAGGACTGATTGGTAGTTTCTTATAAAGTTAGACACGCATCTCCCTATAAGCCAGCAATTTCAATTCTAAATATTTCACCAGTTCCACTCCTAGCTATTACCCAAGAGGAATGAAAACAGAGACTTGTACATGAATGTTCATAGCAGTTTTATTCATAATAGACAAAAACAACCCAAATTTCCATCAAAACTACTCAGTAATGAAAAGAAACTGATACATGTGAAAATTGTGGAAGAATTTCAGAAACATTAATTAAGCAAAATAAGTCATACACACACAAAAGAAAACACATATTATATGATTCCATTTATAGGACATCTAAGAACCACCAAAGTAATTGTTGGTGATAGAATCAGAAAATGAAGGGGAGAGGAAGAGGAGTTAACAGGAAGGAAATACCAGGTAATGAGAATGTTCAGCATCTTCACTGTCAAACTTCAGTGGGCCCTCAAGATTTGTCCATTTTACTGCATATGAATTATACTTAAAGAAAAAGTCAAATACCAATGCAGGACCCTACTTGCCAGATTCAGGCTTGGTGGGTCTGAGGTGGGACCCAAACAAGGTTGTTTAAAAGAGCAGCCGGCTGGTCCTAACAGGCAGCTACATGAGGCACTATCCAGTCCAGACCCGCACTTCCTCCTTCATTTGGTTCTATTTCCATAGCCAGCATAAAAGCCCAGTAAGGGGGCCTTAGGCTGTCACAGCCCTTCATCCCTTTGTAGGAGGAAATGCAGCTCAGGGGGAAGGTGTGTGTTTGGCATTCTAAGAGACTTGCTTCCATCAGGCAGGCATTATTATCTCCATTTTACAGTTAAGGGAACCAAGGCCCATCAGCTACGCAGCTTCCCCAACATCACTCAGCTAGGAGGTACTGGAGCCAGGATTTGAATCCAGGCCTGTCTGACTCCAGACCTCTACTTTACCCCCTAAGTCTGCCTCTTGGCTCAGAAGCACTTGAGATCAGGCAGCTCACTCTCTTTTCTCTGCAGCTATATCTCTCACTCCTCCAGCCCCTCTTTCATGTTCAGAACAGACCAGCAGAGTGTGAGACACTCAGAGAGCTGGGGGTTGACACTCTGCTCTCTTGCTGTCTGGTCTCCTCCTTCTCCTCTCACAGAAGAGCCCATGCTTGTTTGACAGCCTTGGGTTTTTGTTTTTTTTTTTTTTTTGAGACAGAGTCTCACTTTGTATCCCTTGGTAGAGTGTTGTGGCATCACAGTTCACAGCAACCTCCAGCTCTTGGGCTGAGGTGATTCTCTTGCCTCAGCCTCCCGAGTAGCTGGGACCACAGGTGCCTGCCACAAAGCCCAGCTATTTTTTGTTGCAGTTTGGCAGGGGCCGGGTTTGAACCCGCCACCCTTGGTATATGGGACAGGCGCCCTACTCACTGAGCCACAGGCGCCGCCCCCAGCCTTGGGTCTTGCCTAGGCCCCCATCCCACCCATCCGGAAGCCCCTTCTGGAGCATTATCAACCAGCATTCCCAGAGTACCAGGCAGAGCTGGGCTCAGGACACAGGTCAGCCTCCTCCCCTGCCAGTGCACCCTGGGGACCCAGCTCCACTCCCTCTCACTTCCAGAAAATACCTTCGCCTCCCTTTCTCTGGCCCCTTCCCTAGCTCCATTCTTCTCTACCTCTCAGCACCTCCAGCCTTGCCCTCCCCACCCCACCCCCATTCTGGGGGTTGTGGACCCACGTGGCCTCTGGGAACTTAGCCTATGTTCACAACAGGTGCCCCTG